GCAGAACCAACATGTATGCTTCACCTCGCATACCCTGAGCAACACTGAAAAACAGTACGCGCAGATCGAAAAAGAATTTCTCGCAATCGTTACATGCATGAACAAATGGCACCAATATCTGTACGGGAAGCAGCAGATTACAGTACACACAGACCATCAGCCACTCGAGTCGATCTTCAAAAAGCCCATCAGCAAGGCACCACGCAGATTGCAGCGAATGATGCTTAAACTCTTTGACTATCAATTTAAAGTAACATACAAAAAGGGGAAGGAACTGCATGTAGCAGACACGTTGTCACGTGCGGCGCTCAAGGGCTCATTTGAATGGCAACAATCAGATGTTTTTCGCATGGAATTGGTAGAAATGGATCTGAAACCCAGTAACGTAACAGCTGACACGTTGGAAAGAGTTCGAACCGAAACAAGCAAGGATCCTGTCCTGTCCATCCTCCACTCAGTAATAATGATTGGCTGGCCTGATGAAAGAAAATCGATACCAGAGGAAATTAGGGGATTCTGGAATTACAGAGAGGAGATCACAGCCGACAACGGTGTTCTCTTCAAAGTGGATCAAGTCATAGTTCCCTCCTCACTGAGAGCAGAGATGCTTCGCAAGATACACAAAGCCCATCAAGGCTATGACAGCAGCATAAGGAGAGCACGGGAATGCCTTTTCTGGCCTGGAATGCAGTCGGACATCCGAGAAACCTGCTCGTCGTGTGGAATTTGCAGCCAGTACCACACTGAGCGGCCAACAGAGCCCATGCTCTCACACGAAATACCCTCACGTCCCTGGTCAAAGATAAGTGCCGACCTGTTCGCACTGGATGGAAATCAATACCTCGTGATGGTAGATCACTATAGCGATTATTTTGAACTTGAGCCACTCAGAAACGTTGCAGCAAGCACTGTCATCAGAGCTATGAAAAGAAACTTCGCGCGCCATGGAATACCCGACACTTGCATCAGTGATAATGGCCCACAATTCGACTGTCATGAGTTCTCACGGTTTGCGCGCGACTATGGATTTGCCATGGTCAAGTCCTCACCCTACCATAGCCGTGGCAGCGGGAAAGCAGAGTCCGCAGTGAAAAATTGCAAAGAACATTTTAAAGAAATCACGGGACGAAGACCCCTATATTGCTTTGCTGGCGTATCGCAACACACCTCAGCAGGGTTATGCTTACTTTCCGGCACAGAGATTAATGTCTAGAAGACTCCGGGACCTGATTCCCATGGCTACAAGCAAACTCCGGCCGCAACTAACAGTGCCGAGTATAGTGACCCAGAACATTGCGGAAAGGAAACAAAGGGCCAAAGCCCACTATGACAAACGAGCATCAAAGCAGCTCAGTGAATTCACAATCGGCGAGAGAGTCTTCGTGACGCCGAGCCCGAGGGATAGAAACAAACCCTGGATATATGGTGAGGTGGTTAACAAGCCTGCGCCAAGATCATGCACTGTAAGCACTCCATTGGGGCTTGTTCGTCAGAACCACGTTCAAATTGGGAAAACATCCGCCGATCCAGTGCATGGTTATAGTGAACCATTATCACTCGACACTGATGCAGCATCAGACACATCTGAGCATGTGGACGACCCTTTTAGTTCAAACAGCGGTGGAGCAGAACAGGTGGAGCAGCCCGAGTACATGAACCCTGAACATCACGCAACACCGAAAATCGTGCTGCGGAGGTCATCTAGGAACCGGAAGCTGCCCTCCAGATTCAAGGATTATGTAATGAACACAAGCTGAACCCTCGCATAGCTATTGGGGCACCGAGGCCTGCAGTACTTTGATTTAATTCATAAATTACGCTGTAGTACTAAATGTCACTCTGTTTCGTGCGTTTCGTGACTTTATTTGCTTATTGACTGATTTATTTATTTACTTTATTACTATTATTCTTTTTTATGAAAGGAAAGGTGTTGCACGCCCACATGTGACTCGCAATGAAGCTAGCATACATAGTTTAGTGCACGAGCACTTGCAGTCTGCAAGATTAGCATATCTGGCTTGTACTTAAGATTTTGACATTTCGTAATTAAAACGTATACTTTATCGAGAGCACCACGCTATCAACACCATGACCATAAAAAGGCATTATGTCCAGATTTGGATGTTATTTTCCCGGGGCTCGCAAAAAATGGCTCCGGCTCGTCATAAAAGGCTCGGGCTCGCAGGCTCGCATTGTAGCAACCCCCGTGACTGTGCCGGGGGATCGACTCAAAGATGCCCTAGTTGTATCCAGTTGTACATGGAATGTGGGGATTATGAACCGTCATGCAATCCACATTGCACATATGGTGGTGTCAACGATCGATAAAGCCGTGCAGTGCATGCAAGATGAGGGTGTTGAGTTGTTAGAAAATTTTGACTGGAAGCTGTACCATAGATGCATCAATATCTGTCTCTGAATGATTCCAAAGTATTTATATGTCATCTATGGGATGCCCTCAGGTCTCTCACTAGCTCACTAGTGGCTACTTGGAGCAATTTTTGTAAATTGCATGCTGGTAATTATTTTGTATAGTTTCCAATTGTGCAGCTGGAGTTAGTTATCAGCAACCTTTTGCTTGTCACTTTGCATGCAACCTTCCTGTGTGGATAAAAAGAAATGCATAATTACCTGAAAAAAAGTATTTTCTAATATAAACAATTTTAAGTGTTATTGATTTGAAATAAGACTTCAATCGCCCATCAAGCAATCTGCCTCATGCATGACTGGTTTCATGTAACAAAAGTAATTGATCGTAGTTTTGTTGTCCTCATCTGCAGGTGAGAGTGTCTGGTAGATGTGGTTTTACTTACTAACATAAAACAACATGAGGCCAGACTGTTTTTTTGCTTTAAAATTTGCATAGATGAAGTCATGTAAGTTGATGAAAAAGAGAGCCACTGTTACCCGAAAGGACTAAAGAGCTCAACTACTTGGGTGACCACCATCAAAAATGCAAAACTCTGAAAAGCAGAAGTATCTTTTTAATGAACCATATTATCCCTTGCTTGTCTTGATTTTTAACTTGGTCGCTTGATCTCAGTTTTGTCCCTACATTCTTGTCAATTCCTGTCATCTGTTCAAAGGTGAATTGATGGGACAATGTCTTTATGTGTTATTTGTTTGGAGTATTTTGTAATGATCTTTACTTAGGGACTGGTCATTTTATTAGAGGAGGAGGGTGGGCTGGTGCATTTTAATTTTCCCATACATAATTTCCCGTGGGCCTGTTCTTGCCCCTGCATAACATAATGTGGCCCCCCTTCGAGTCTGTATATGAAATAAGATGACCTGCCCTCGACCACAGAAACAGTTTTAATACAACTTAAATAAAACTCACCGAAGTATTTAAAGCAAATAGCAAAAATAAGAGAAAGGCACAGAAGAGAAAAGCTGGACGAAAAGAAGAGAATTTTGGTTTAATCTCCAAACTACTGTCTAATGGTGAGATTCCAGTTGAGGAAGTGAATGTGGCTGTTCTAATATCCTTAAAAGGGACACAAGTTTACTGGCTAAAGCAAATGATGGAAAGAAGGCTTATTAGTGGTCAAGCTTGTATACTAATTAAATAGTACTTGCCCTCTATCAGTGTTACAATATGTTATCAATAGCTCATTATTTCATTAGTCACCTGACCCTTGATTGTGATACAATGACCGCATGATTCTTCAGTGAGTGTATTGAGATCCTCACATCATTCTTTAGACGTGCTCGATCACGACAACCTAAAAAATAAAGCTTTGCTATGTCTCATCAAGAACTGTCTCCTACGTCTCCCGATAGTAAACAAACAGCACGTGTTACAATCAGCTCTTTAAACAGTGAATCAGAGGACAGTGATACTAAGTAATACATGAAGTTTTTTTTCCATTGCGAAAGGACTGCTATACACCATGTTATGTTGGTTTGTTATGCCATGATTTTGATAACAAATCGTACTTGACTTGTTGTTGATTCCCTCAGTGCTGTTTCTTTTTTGTGGAACAGAAACTGGAATGCACAAAAATATATGGCCCCTTTTATGCAGCCCCCCATTTTCAGGTGCACAAAAAGGTATGACCCCACCCCATTTGCACCAGCCCACCCTCCACCCTCTAATAAATGACCGGTCCCTTATCGAAAATCGATTGTTTTTGTATATCAGAAATACAAAAAATGGGGTCATCCTCGGTGTAAAAACCTGTGAAGCTCACGAGTGACGTAAAACAAAGACAACAAAACATAAACAATAGCGTACAGCAAAACAATACCTCATGAAACAAAGAAAACCTCGTCAGGTTTTTACACCGAGGATGACCCAAGAAATGCAGAACAACAGCTTTATTTCAAGATTTTCGAATGTTATCTTTTTAAAATTGGAGGCTATTTCGGAAACTGACGTTTCGAGCGTTAGCCCTTCGTCATTCGCTCCGACGAAGGGCTAACGCTCGAAAAGTCAGTTTTTATAACCGTAACGGTGGCCAATTTACCATTTCAACTTTGTTGATATATTCAAATTATTTCGTTACCCCCACCGACGTAGCGCCAAACAGTTTCTTTAGAAACTATCAGCCTTTATTTCGGAAACTGGTTGTCTGTGACGAGATGTGCTGTCACGCAATGAATTCTTTATACTCTGCAGGGCGTTACAGCGGACAAAAGTGTCTCATGTCAGTCACGACGTTGCACGAAAGCGTGTAATTCGTATTAAAAGCTTGGAAATCCTGGCTGTTGGACGAAGTATCGGTTGAGACATGACTCACTCGTTGTCACGTGTGAAATTCTTAATATTAGTTTTGTGCGTGCCTTGTATGTTACACACAGGCCACGCTGCGGGATCCAAGCCACCGAACATTTTGTTTTTGCTTGCCGATGATTTCGGCTGGTACGATGTCGGGTATCATAACCCTAAAATACAAACTCCCAACATCGATAAGCTGGCTAAGAGTGGAGTTATACTCGACAGTTATTACGTGCAGCCAGTATGTACACCGACACGGGCAGCATTGATGACCGGAAGGTATCCAATACACACAGGTAAGTAAGTTAAGTTGTCTTGCGCAAGGCTATGTCATCACTTTGTTTACATGTGAATCATTCCTCGTAGAGGAATCCTTCATTTGAATAACAAAGTTAGCAAAGTTGAAGTACAGATCTTCAAACGCAGACTGTTATTGCTCGCGTTCAGCCCAAAGAATTTGTATTACTCCAACACTTTAAATGGCGTTATACTTTTTTAGATCATGTTTATGCCAAACACAATAAGTTACACAAGTTATCGCGAATCAAAGCTTCTATAAATTTTGCGACTTTTAGCAGTCGCTAATCAAGATCCCAGATGATTTTTCTTTACTTTTTGCAAGGTCTGCAACATGATGTTATTCATCCGGAAAATCCCTATGGATTGCCTCTGGACTTCGACTTGTTACCACAGAAACTGAAACAGGCTGGTAGGTATTGGAAAAGTTGGATTGGCAGAGAGAATCTTGGGGAAAAGATTGATTCACTCACTTAGAAAGTAAAGTTCCTTCTTCAATTTTTTTGTAAATGAAAATCTAAAGGGGATTTCTTTCCATTCCTCCTTTCTTCTGTTAGGTTATGCGACTCATTTGGTTGGCAAGTGGCATCTTGGTTTCTATAAGTGGCCTTATGTTCCAACCAAACGAGGATTTGACTCCGCCTATGGATTCTGGGATGGTTCTGAGGGTCATTTTGACCATAGTCGCCTGGGAATTGTTGACTTTCGTAACAATTTAGATGTAGTAAAGGATTTGAACGGCACCTACGCAACAAACGCTTACGTCAATGTAAATGGGGATGGTTGGATTGTTTACCTTGTTGTGTATTAGCTTTGGTCACATTACAGGCTTTTACCCGGGGAAAATCGTTTTGCCTAGGAAACATTTCCCTTGTTAAATGTACCTCAGGTTTCATTTTCCCTAGGTTAAAAGGTCACTCTGGAGACCATTGGACTTCGGGAGGTTTAACGTCACAAAGGATTAAATTTCAGGTCGCGTGTTCAAAATTTTGGCGCAAAAAGTTTTGTCCCAAAAACGGAAAACATGCTCGAGAATCAAACGGATCAAAGAGAGGTTTTTATTCTTATTTCATTGCTGTCCATTGCTTTATTTCAAAGAGCAAGACGAGCAAGAGTAATTTTACTGCAGCGCCTGATTTCTAGAAGGATTCAAAGACGACGAAGAGCCGCATTTAGTCAATTCTTGACTATTTTTGCGTGGATATTTATAAGAACAAACTAAACCTGGAGTGAATCAGAAAAAAATAAGGAATTCAGAAGCGATTGTTACTCACATGATTTCTCTAAATCGCGACATCGTGGATTTTCGCGCGCACGCGGCAAAATCTTCAACAAAAGTCACGTTCTCAAGCGCTTCCAAAATTACTATAATTCCGGATCTGTCACCAGCGCGATCGCCGACGAGCGTCCATTGGTCGGCTACTCTGGATTTGATCACACTTGCAAATTTGAGTTTCCCTAGGGAAACTGTCAACAAGTCAGGTTCTGTCCTGGTGTACCGGTTCACAAGGGAATCACCATTGTTCTTTCTTTGTTTAGGAGTTATTGGTTAGCTATTGTGTATTGTTTGGTCTTTTGTATTGGCTCTTGTGAACCGGTACACGACGACAGAACCACAAGTCAAGTTTCCCTATGACAAAACCCTGTAGTGTGACCACAATATCATTACTATATTTCATTGATTCGCTCGGCCTCGTGAGTTTTCAAGTTTTAAACTCTAACAGTAGTAAACGAGTTATTTTTTATTATTGGTTTACACCCTCGATTACAAACCGTATCTAATGTAGAACTCACTTGAGCTACTAGTCGGTCAGCTTAACTTACATTATCGTGTCCCTTTAACGTGCGTAACCACTGCAAGAAGTTAGATTCGCAAATTTAAACTTTAAACTTTAAGCGCGCTTAGGTCCCAATGGACCATTTGTCAATCAACCGTCGTGTGATGTAGAACTCTAGAGTCAAGTCAGCTTGAGCTACAGCTACTCCAAAGCAGTGAACAGCGGGCGCATTCCTCAAAATTGTTGTGTCTTCATCACAATACAAGAATTTTTGAGATTTGTATTTCCTTTCTCCAATGCAAACTGTCTATTTGTGGCGGTAAATTTGAGATCGAAGTAGGGGGTTCGCACGTTACCCCATTGCCACCATGCTGGTGGAAGTAAACAATAGATATCTCATTAGCTCCTTTTGTTCATCTACCAGCATTTAAATTTGACCCGCACACGTCAACGGTGAGTGACAAATGAGCCCAGGTCTTCCCAGGGAAGACTTCCTTAAATAGCGCGCCTTCGTGTTTAAACCATATTTTCTTTTCTCACAGCAAGTGAAAAAGGTTTTACAGGGCCACAATTCATCGCAACCGTTGTTTATATACATGGCCTTCCAAAATGTTCCCGCACCGATCGAAGCCCCGGAGAAGTACATAGAGAAATACGACTTTATAGAGAATAAAATGAGAAGAGTTCACGCTGCTATGGCAGATATCATGGATGAAGCTGTGGGAAACATAACAGAAGCTTTTAGAGAAGCAGGGTTAGTGGTATGAGAATGGATCATGAAAACTTCAATTATTTGGTGCGTGAAAGAACTCTCTAAAAAGAAAAAGCGACACAATACCTCAAAAAGATATTTGTCACGCCCTAAAAAGTGTTCTCAGTTATTCAATTACTTTTATTTTTAGATTGTGGGAGAACACCCTTCTGATATTCAGCACTGACAACGGAGGTTTACCTTATTACGGAGGTTACAATTGGCCCCTTCGAGGAGAAAAAATGACGCTGTGGGAGGGAGGGGTAAGAGGAATTGGATTTGTCCACGGAAATCTGCTGGCAAGGAAAGGAGTTACGTGTAATGAACTATTGCATGTGACGGACTGGTACCCAACAATTCTTGGATTGGCTGGTAAGGAATACTACAGACGTAGTAAATAGCCTCTAAGCGGTGCTAGTTTCGATGAAGTTAGAGTCTTCCTCTTTTTTAAATGATTTCTTTCAGAGATGTACTTTTCTATTAACCCTTAAACCCCACGAGTGATGAGCATCTGATTTCTCCCAACAGTATCGCACGTCAATCAAACATTAAGGTCTTGAGAATAAAGAAAATGATCATCTTCTTAAGAAGCTCTTAATTATTGAGCAAATTCTCCTTGTAAATTAAGTTCCATAGGAAACGTGTTAAGAATAGTAAAGATTTTATGGTGTAAAGGGTCAAATAAAGGAGAAATGAAGTAAGCAAGCAACAACTTGACGAAACTGATTTATGGGAGTTATCAAGTGTATACCTGACAAAGTGATAAAAGTTTAGTCTAGCTTCTCGTGAACGACACCCTTTTCTCTGTTAGTTTGATTGTTAGCGCAGGTCATCGGGTAGAATGGGTGGACATCATAAATTATTCTTAACTAAATTTGAAGGCGACCTCGCTTTGAGGAGCCCTTAATTAGAGAAGAATGAGCCAAACTTGGCCAATTTCCTGAGTTTTGGAAGTGTTTGCTTCTAAATCAACGCACGGCTTTTTGGAGGTTAAAGATGTAGCTACAATTTGCACCTGAAATGAACGATTTCAACGAAGTATAAGTGTTATCCTTATGATTGAGAAATCACCTCCATCCATAGGTGTGACATTAGAGGACAAAAGTCCCATCCCACTGGACGGCCATGACGTATGGGACACGATTTCGATGGGGAAGCCTTCTCCACGCTCTGAGATATTACTGAACATTGATCAACCTGGTTCAGTTCCTCCAGGGCCTGGTATCCTAGGTGGTTATACGGGGGTCGCACTCAGGACCGGTGATATGAAGCTGCTGATGAATGTGCCAAATGTCACGTGGTTTAAACCACCAGAGATTGGTGGAATAGTGGAAAACGAAATACCTTTGAACGCGGTGTTTGAAAACCCAGACATGGTAAAGTGACCAGTACGCCTTATTTCTTTTGAGTGGGGACGAATCAGAATCAATCGCATATGTCATCCTGCAGGTCCAACATGCATTTCAGATACATTCTTCATTTCTACGATGCTTTCGTTGCTGTAGACGGGAAACGTCACAGATATTTGATTGAGCAAAAAGTAGGCAAATCATGTTTCTTTAGGAAATATTCGGATCGATTCTAGATTTAAACTATTCAATTAGAAAAGGTCACTTGCACTCACAGACTCTGCGCAGCATTGAATTATGCGATATTGTTAAGCTTAACTCTTCTTAAGGCGTCCGACGTTCAGTGGAACTCGACTCTGCAGCTGCCTTTATTTCCTGATCTTATGTCTTACCGTCTCTCGTTCCAGGCCAAGGTTGACAAAGTGAACATCGCCTTATATAACATTTCTAAAGACCCAGAAGAACGAGATGACCTCAGCAAAAAATTCCCAGATATTGTTAAGGAGATGCAGATGAGAGTGCAGTACTATGTGAATTCATCAGTAAAACCGTTGAACCAGAAAAACGATCCCGAAGCCTTGAAAACCGCCCAGGAAAAGGGAGCATGGGGTCCATGGAGAGACTAAAATCCAACGAGTTGAAACTTCAAACACACAAGGGAATTAGATTTGTAGTCAGAAGAAATCGTCAGCATCGTAATCAGCCCTCAGTGTATAAATGTTCGATAGAATAGTTGAATTCTTCACTCGAATGATCCTCAGTCTCTGTGTCTTCTCTTTATTGTTGGAATATAGAAAAACCGTGAATCATGCACCTGACTAACGACGGGAAAATTATATTGACTGAGGGGAATAGTAAATTCCAACATACAAAGCTTATTAAGTGGTGGTTTGAAAGACATTTTCGCTTCATTCTCGCGGACCTTCGCTTGAATGTGCCAGGAAGTGACCAGATGGTCAAGTGACGTACCATAAAAGTTTGTACAGTTTGTGGACACGACTTATTTTATATGTACTGATTTGGAAAGAATGTCATTAACTTACTGATTCACTGACTAACTGGTCTATCTTACACGTTTCACATTTTAATAAAGCTTGTGAAATCAGTTAAATTTGATCAGCTTTTAATTAAGGTGACCCTGATTATCAAACGAATGGCCTAAGTGCTAAATGATCACCACGCTAGACTCCGCGACAGTAGATAGGTCCAGATTAGCGACACGGGAAGCGTTGCTTTACTTCTAACAGTTCCTCTCTTAGTCAGGAAGGAAACCTTACGAAGTGCTGGGGGGTTAACTCAGAATGAACTAACATCACCTCAAGGAGGTGTAGCAACACCTGTTGTCAGTTAATGTCACAATAACCTGGATGAGGTCAAGCATCTCTTTTGAGTCAATCACTTTTCTTTCAGAGGAGTAAACAGGTTTGAAAAGTGACAAGCAAAAGCCATGTTTCCTTTGAAAACTTCGAGAATGTCCTAGAGGTCGCCAGTCATCATCAACTTGCCCCCCCCCCCCAAAAAAAAAAAACGCGTGGAGATGGTGATGATAGTATAGGCGTTAATTATAGTTACAACGATGACGATGACGATGAGGATAAAGACAATAGCAACTACTTCGTCACATTCTCAGTAAAGCAGCATAACACAAAGCTACTGAATTGATTTGAGAAATAGACAGGAAAAATCAGAGAAAGCCATTTATTGTGGTTTCACTTACAAAGGGTTAGCCGTTGGCTTGCATTTGTCTAACTCAACTGAAATCATTCTTACATGTCACCTCTGTCTTCCACACTATTATCACCTTTACGGTCGAAAATATTTCTCAACGTCATTTTGAATCAATACTTTCAACTCACTGGTTCGATTAACAAAGCAATGGCTTTTAATCGAACAGTTTCCTCTACTTTCACTATCAACGAGCTTGATGCGACCAGCTCGATTCTACATCCACGGTCCCCAAACACCATTCTTAAGAGCTTCTTTTAGCGCATTTTTGTCACCAGGTTTGTAAGCGGAGGGAACTGTGGATTTTAGGTAATAATTCATTCTCTCTTTCATCTTTTTCAGGAGATCAGGTAACTCGGCACTGAGGTTGTGGCGTTCTTCAGGATCAGCTGTGATGTTATACAGTGCAACTTCCAAAAGCTCTGCTCTGCCCTTTGTGATTCCAATGTAAAGAAGACGCTAATAAACTCTAAGAAATGATAGGCCGAAACCTAACTATTACTTAATTGAAACCTTTGGATTTAGAAATTTTGGTGTACGAGGTGATGTTAGTTGTCACAGTTTTGAATAGTAATTTTTTTATTTGAAGGTACACGCTGTTTTGGAAAATCTTTCTCATCCTGTATTCCATATGACATTAAGCGTCTTGATATTGGATTGCTTGTGGCCATTGTAACTCAGGTAGTGATTTGAGGAAGACGCTGTGGCAGGTAAGTGAAGTTCCGAGGCACCTCTAAGGGAAAAATGAACCAAATATCAACATTGCTCCAGGATCTCTTCATCTGTCTCGTCTTTAAGAAACCCTCTGGACACAAGAACATCAGCTGGAACTCCTCTCAACTCGGGTGGTTTGAACCAGGTGATGTTTTTGACATTCATCAAAAGCTTCATGCTTCCCTTCCGAAGAGCCATTCCAGGGCGATTGACTCTACTGCTACTTGTCCCGGGAGGTGGACTGTTAATATTAAGCAAGATTTCTGTTCGAGGCGAGGCTTCTCCACGGGAGAGAGTGTTCCACACATCAAAGCCATCAATGGGGATAGGATGTTTTGCATCGAACGAACCATCTGTAATAAAATGAGAATGAGAAGGAACACAAGGTTGTGCCAGACAGGGTACACGAAAGAAAAAGCCGTGAAGGAGAAAGGAAAGAAATCAGAACATATGGCCGACTGGTTTATAATGAAAATCAAGGAAAAGAAAGACATTTTTTAACTCAAAATCGTTTTTCCAGTATCAACTATTTTATCACAACCTGCGTCGTAAAGATAAACGTCAACTGAAAAAACTCGAAGGTTTGTTTCGGTCTCATTTCGTACTCCGCACACCTGGGGCAGTCTACGAAAACAGTACAAAATAATATCCTGCGTCTACCAAATTTCCGTTTGAACAATTCTTCGAATTAACATGCTGCGATCCAATTCCTTCCTGGACTGCATAAGCCAAATTTCCCTCTTTTCCATTCCCACGTTACGTTTCGCCTCACAGGCGCTCAAAGATATTTGCATTGCAATGCGATGATCGCATGTTTGCTGGATTTTCTCCCGCTTTTATCCGAAAAAAACCTCTATCAGTTTTCTGCATTAAACGATATAATTCAAATTGCATCTTATGTGACTGCAAATGTTTTTGACTATTAAAAATTAAAGATGCGAGACAGTGAATTCAACGAGTTTTCTGTTATCTCAGAATCTCGTCCGCAAAAGTGTTACTAAACAATCCTGCTGCCAATGTTTACACTCGATAATTGAATTTAATCAATCAGCCAATAAACTTTAACTGTTCCCGCCTTTCTTCTTTCACATCAGATCATGAACGATGGAAGCGATTCGCAAAGTTAGGTTTGTACGGTCCTGAACTCGAAATTATTTCTTCTGTCTTCATTCCAAAGGTGGCGTTTAAGCGACGATGTTACGCATAAAGTATTAAAATCAGTTCTTAATTCAACAACTCGAGTGTTAACAAGAAAACCCTGTTACTCCCGAGGAGATTTCTAGGGCATTCCCGAACTCGAGTAATTACGACAGTCCCCATAAAATCTTGTTTCTACACCTCGAGTGCCACGAATTAAAAATGAGGCAAGAACACTTTTCACTCAATTAACTCGTATTGTGGCTGTTTCTCTAAAAGAGTACAGTAAGAAACATTATTATAAACATTATTATGATTATTGCCAGGCTACTTTAGTAACTTGATGGATAACTCTTTCCTTTCCGCTTTCTGTTCCATGGGAGATATTGGTTCTAGAGTTTTTTTCTTGTGTAAACTAACTTTTTATAGATTTACTTTACTTAAACAATCTTCAAAACGAAAATAAAAAAGACACCGTCATGTGAGGGATGATAGAAAATTGGAAATTAAATAGTGGATAACTACACCTGCCAAGTTGATGAGGGTAGGAAAGAAGTCGCTGATGTGTAGTAGTTCTTCGCATTTCACGCCGGTCTTTTCCAACATTTTTCCATGGACAAAAGCAGCACCTCTCACTCCTCCCTCCCATAAGGTATGTTTTGTACCTCGAAGAGGCCAGTTATATCCACCAAACACGGGTTCTCCTCCATTGTCGGTGCTGAATACAGTGCAAGTGTTCTCCCATAGCCTGTACGAGAACAAGGAAAATTACAAACGCTCGTCATAATCCTTCAAATCATAGTCCAGGCAAAATTAGTTAAAATTCTAATACGAAGGACTTTAAATTCCTCTCTCTTCTACGAACTTTCCTTACTTCTACACCTTACAAAATTAAAACTATTTAAAGAGACTTATTGGCTCTTAGCCGAAAACGTATCCGAAATTTATTCCGATTTCACAATCCTTCATACAAGACTACATTTACTGTCCCATGTTGGTTCTTAAAAATGGAGGTTGAGACTATCAAAACAATCTCAACAGAGTTATCATGGTTGTCTCATGTACAAACGCAAAGATATCTTCGGTAAGTTAAAGTCACGCAAGTAAAAATAGTTACGTATGATGCACGATCCTCGCAGTAGAGAGCGCTATTTATCCAATAGCCAAAATCAGACCTGAAAAAAATCAGGCCTGTACGGGATTCGAACCAGTGACCTCTGCGATACTAGTGCAGCGCTCTACCAATTGAGCTAACAAGCCAACTGAGAGAAAGCCGTTAAGTTGATTCGTAACAAACCCGTGATGATAAATCAGATACAAGGAGGATCGTGTATCATACGTATCTAATACCGCAGTTCAAAATATATGAACTTCATATATTCATTGTACCAAGTAAAAATAGTGCCATACTGTGATTGCACGAATCCTGAAAGATGAGCGCTCAAACTCACCAGAGAATGAAAAGCCGAAATCCTCAAGGGAACTGGTATCAAACTCACCCTTTCTTTTGCAACATTTTAGTGATGTTGCCAACAGCTTCGTCCAGTTCCTGCATGCACTCGGCGCATCTTCTGATCAATAAACGAGAATTTGTCCACATACTGGTCTGGTGCCTGGATGGGATTATGAACATTCTGGAAGGCCATGTACAGGAACAGTGGCTGTTTTGGGTCATGTTGATCCAAAATCTCTTCTATCCTCTGATGAAATCATAAAATAATAAAACATACACTGTTAGCTGCACAGGCCACTGTTACTCACATACATGACACAGTTCAGCGGAGCCACAAAATCCTAATACTTTCTGATAAAGCTATGTGTTAAAATATGCATTCAGGGTTGCTTTGGAGAATTTCTGGCATCATGAAGAGCGAAGATCAGCCAAGCGAACAGGTGTTCCTTTTCTAAACTCAAAGGAGCGCTACGGCAAGTAGACAGCCGCGACCAGCATTAGCAGTCAGGTCCCAGTGCGCCTTTTTCGCTGGAGCCTATGGTGAAATTTTGAGAATCGAGGCTTAGCCATATATAAGATACACCATGTTCTCTAGACAAGCACAAACCGCAAACAGCACCTATCTCCACACACAATTATATAGTATAGGTAAACTCTCCTGGGAATCCTGACGCGATACAGGGAGGTTACCGGCATTGGATGAGCACCCCGTCTGGTGCCAAGTCTCACACATGTTGTGTTATAAACCTCGATTACGAGGAGACTATCACATACTACCTTGACAAATTCGAATGTTGCATATTTTCCATTCAGGTCTAGAACAGGTTCGGTTCCATTGCGGAAATCAACTACATTGGAAACTTTGTGATCATAATGATCCTCAGCACCATCCAAATATCCAAAAGCAGAATCGAAACCACGGTTGGTTGGAACATAAGGCCATTTATAGAAACCAAGATGCCACTTGCCGACCAAATGAGTCGCGTAACCTGACAAAATTTAAGAAATTACATTCCATTTGTTAAACGAAGTTATTTGAGTATTTTAAAGAAAATTTGGGCAGAATGAGGTATAAA